TAGGGAAAGGGACAAAAGGAGGGGAGGCTGCTAAGAGAGGTAATCAGTAGCTTTGCTCAGTGGTGCGCAACTCATCCTACAGATCAAATAAGTGGCACAGGGTCTGTCTGCAGGCAATTAACACTGTTATAATTCCCCCATTGACAAATTCCCAGACCCATCGGGGGCTCCCAAGTCATGTTAGTCACCCATGGTATAGACCAATTAAGATGAACAGGGCAGTTAATTCCTGGGAGGACACTGGGGTAAAAACACCATAGCCTCTGTTGACACCAAAGTTAATGACGGGCAGTGGTCTCAGTAGATAGGCTGTCAATCTGTGAAGTATTTTTTTAGGGACAGGGGCAAAAGAATATAAGAAGGGACTTAAAGGAGAAATGCCAGATGATGTTGAAATGTTTATGGAGTGCTTCTGCCATCCCTCCTGGCAGCATGGGAGAAGTGCAAAGGGCTTCTTTGAAAAACTATTAAAAATTTACACCATTTCTACCATAAGCCCAAAACACACAGCATCAGGGGAGCTTCTGTCTCTTTTGGCATTATCTATTATAGTTCTTTATATAGATTTTCTTCTTTTTCCCCCTTGAGAAATAAAAAAATGTTTCAAAATTGTCTGTTTAATTTAATAACAATGAATGTCCCTGCTATGGAGTTAGAGCTCATTAAAAAATCCAGAGAAAAATTCCATAGCTTTTAGTTTTTACAGTTTTTACTCTGAACCTTCCCAACCTTTTGCTGGAAACCAATTGATTTAATTTCTGTTAAATCCTACAATATATTCCCCATAAGAGAAAATTCATTTCCCAATCTTCTAGTATTACAATTAATTCTTTCATATTCAATTATCTGAAAAATGTAAATGCTCATAATTATTAATTAATTTTTCAATAGAAATTATTAATGACATTAAACAGGTATGGACCGTTGCGAAGGAGATGGTGTGGCTGGAATATACTGCCTGGAGCCATTTCACCAGATTAGCTTGTGCAGGTGACAAATAAGGCATCTTCCTGTCATTCCTCAAATAAACGTTGAAATCCATCAGCCTTATCTGCCAAGTGCAATCTAGATGTCTGCATCTTTTCAGAACAGCTACAATAGCTATCAGTCCATATTTGAACGCTGGTTAGTCAAATGTCCTTGGTTACTAAATCTCTGTTACTATGGTACTTAGCTCTAATCCCACAGCCTGGACATACAGCACATTAACAGCTGTATAATTTACATCAGTGTAAATTACACATGGACCCAGAGTGGACAGATAACCAGTTACCCTGAGCTAACCACTCCAGTAGGCACTATTATAGTGCCTTGCCACCATGTGGTGCAGAACAGGCAATAGCCTATTTCCTTGGAGCAAAAGGCTACTCCAGAAAAAACTACAAACAGTGTGCAGATACATATCACCCCACATTGCCATAGCAATGCACTATGTCACCATACAGCATGCTATGGCAACATAGCAATTGCATGGGTCTACATATGATCAGTAGCTATGTCTCTGTAGTGGCACACTCTCCTATTTTATTGTGCCTCTGAGACAATGTAGTGGGGAAATCTAACTGTGCACTATGAGCATGGCACAGTACAGACAGTTACTATGCTGTGCTTTAGTATTTCCAAAAGGAAGTACTAGAGCATGGTGCTGTAGCAATGTTGCCATACAGCAACATGTAGATGGACCCACAAACAACAATTAAACTGGCACATATTAAACTATGGTAGTTTTAACTGTAGTTTTGTTTTTTCCGGGAGTAACTGAATTCTAGTGTTTTGACACACGCTACATGTAAACTGGTATAACCAGACTTTCTGTAGTGTAAACAAGGAGCTGGCACATAATGTTTAGCCCTACATCTAGAATTTTACTTGGAAAAAAGTCAGGGGTAAAAGTACACTAGTGTAAGTTACGTTGATGTAAGCATCATGTGCTCATGGCTATCTTAGGATAGCTGGTTGATAAAAGCAAGAAGACTACTACCAATTCTCCTGCCTGCTCAGGTTGTGGTACATAACAGCATGACCTGGGAGAATTCTCCTGGGTTTGTTCTTCTGGTGGAAAAAGCTTACACAAAGACATCTGAACAGACATTTGAATGCTGAATCCCTGAAGAGCAAAGCTTGTAGTGTTGATGTTGCACAGCCAGGGGGGCCCTCTGCACATCTCTCAGCATGCTCTAGTCAGTATGCTTTGTGACAAATGGCAGCAGTGCATAGGGAAGCCTGAATGGCTGACCCAGACTGATCAGAGTCAGCCTGTAGCATAATGTGGGATTGTGAAGGGGGAACATGCTACTCCCTGTTCAGCTGCAATAGTAGAGCCCAGCCCAAGTAACACACTGGGCACATCTACATGAGATGTTTAATGCATAGTAGACTGATGACTGTGCATTACAGAGTAACGGCAAAAACTGTGCTATTAGGCTAGTATGCAGTAGTATTAGTTGACCACGTATTAATCATTATGGAAAAAGCATGCTATTGTGATAATGTGCGGTAGGACAGCCTACTGCATATTCATTTAGTATTTCCTTTTGCCAGTACTAAATTTAATGTGCAGTAGGCACTGCGCATTAATGAACATGTAGACACATCCACTGTTACTGGAGGTAGGGAGCAAATCACCCCCAGATATTAAAGGACTGTGCTGGGGCTTCTCTCAGAAAGATA